ATTTTTTATTCTATTTTTTAGGGTTTTTTGTTATAGCGGCATCAGAAATACATCATCTGTGAAAATTTCAATTGTCTAACTGTCACTGTTCATGAGATAGATAGACAGACTTTGGTGGCTTACTTACGAACGTATTAATTTTTATGTAAAATGTTGACGTTTCATAAGAACGCGCAAACGTCTATGTGAATAAATATATTTTTGATTTTGATTTTGAATTTGAAGACACACAGCGGAGTCTTAGTAATAGGGTCCCGTCTTACCTTTTGGGTACGGAACCCTAAAAAGACAAGTGTATACAGATTTTACGTTAGGCCAATGTTTTGCGAACATGTGACTTATAATAATAAAGGCGGATCTGTATCGACACACCTGCTGCGCTGTACTTATGTATGTTATTGCGTTACTGAACGCATTCTGCTGATTTGGCGCGTTTTGGGTGACTCAGGCGGAATTGTCATTCCGGTCGCGTGGCAACCGCTGCGCGAACTATATTAATATCGCCGTAATGGCGCGAAAATGAGACATACTACGAGTAAAACGACGCCCGTTTCTATTTCGCGTTAAATAAGTATCACAGTCGAAGGTTCAGTTTGTTAAAATTGTGCCAAGAATTGGGGAAAAATAGCTCTAGTTTTATCACAAGATAAAAATTATTCGTTTGGTTAATCTAGCGTAAAGTTTACACATTATTGGGATAGTGATTATATGTGATTTAACTGTGGTATTGCACGAATGGACAGGCTCGTCTGGAGAAGTAGAAAGGCCGCACAGAAGACCGGCGTGAAGTGGAAAAGTTATACTTCTGCGTTTCGTCTGGTGATAGAGTTAACGAAGCCCTTTTCGAAAGGTGGCAACTCATCTGCAACCCCACGGGTGTTGCCGATATCAATGGATATCGCTTATCATTTAACAATACCACCTCATTACATTAAAAATATATATGAAGATACCTTGGCAAGCTCACTACATTTTAGCTTAGTGCTAGCTTTGTCATATTTCTTATTACACTCCTGTCATTATAAGACTACGCTAGACAAACTAACTGATACTGTTCTTTTGAAATATTTTAGGTTTCCTATCTAAAGTTGTTGCACAGAATTAAGCAATGCGCTCGCATAAAAACAGCGTTTGACCAATAACACGTCATTTGATAACAATTGAGGCTATCTAGATTTTATTCGCTGTTATCAAAAGCTGTACAATCGGATATTTATCAGATAAAAGTGCCAGCGGTTCCCAAGCTGCATTGCATAATTTAAGTCTGTAAATATTTATTAAGGATCAACGAGTTAGACCGCAGGTCTTAGATCAGATACCTGATTAAGACTAAAGTGACATTCATGTAATTAACAAGATTAAATGACCTCATGACAAGTGTGAGAATTGTTAGTTATTGAATTTTAATTTCGATTTTGAATTTAGGGAAAATCATACATAAATTATGAATGAGCTTTAATTGATAAAATTTATGGCCTTTTTTTAAATTCCGTACTATAAAGTCGTAAAAACGTAAAAGCGTCATGAACGCTTTATAGTGTTCATCACAATTACTTGATTATTTAATTTATGCAAAACGATATCAATTAACGTTTATATCAATGGCTGTTGCATTGTTGGCGTACTTGGATTTAATTTTACCCTTAGAGGATCCCAAGCTGATCCCAAGTTTACGGATTATCCTCGGGAATCGGTACTCTTTGGTGAGTATTTAAAATAGAATTTTATGTAATTCTTGTAGCGATCTAAAAAGTGAACAGAGACCGAAGACTTCTTCAACCATCAGTCAGATATCTGGTCCTTTACTCGAGGTTTCGTTGATATATTTGTTCGTACTATATTACGATAATTCGCAGTGAATTTGGGCCAACGCTATGGTTACACGGATAGCACAATGACCACCATAATCATTGTATCCGTGTAACCATAGCGTGTATTTTTGTTTTTAATCAATAACAAAACACCTCAGGAAGTATAATCTTTTGTAGCTCTTGTGTCTTTAAACTAAATTTAATTACTTAATGCTACGTCTTGCGTCAGATCGTTAGATAAAAAAATGAGTAATGATAATCCGCGAAGATCAAGGATTCGCGAGAGATTACAGCATCACGGTGCGGATAAGGTACGCGGAATTTTAACACTGTTTGGGTGGCTTAAAGTAGTTATCGCGTCATCGTGTTGTTTTGATAAAAAAATGAGGATTTGATTTTTTTGCCGTTCCCACTAAACTGTTTTTAATACGACCTTTTCTGCTTTTCAAACGCTAATGATATCCCCACGAGGTTTGTTAACTTTTTGCGCTACCGCTTTATGTTAACTTGACAATCAATTTAGTTGTGTAAAGAACGCAGTGAGCCTGTAGTAGCCATTTTTTATAGTAATTTCAAACTATTAAAATGATCATCCATTAGGTGGTTTAACGTAATTATAAGCCCGTGGTTTTGATATCGTAATGCACGACAAAAGTTCTAAAAAGTAACAGCCTATACATATCCCACTGCTGGGCAAAGGCCTCCTCTATACAGAGGGTATCAGGGCATAGTTCACCATGCGGCTCGACTGCGGATCGGCGGACTTCACATATCTTTGAAATTTTTTTGTTATTAATTCGAAAATATGCAGGTTTCATCACGATGTTTTCCTTCACCGCGGAACACGTGATAAGTCAGCACTTAAAGTTAAAAACTTCATTGGTGCCGGCACCGGAGATCGAACTCAGGTTGCTCGAGTATATAGAATTAAAGACGAGCGCCCGGACACCTTGCTATCACGGCTCATTCAACAGTTCTAAAATATCAAAAGTTCTAACAAAGCCACTAAATTTCTAATTTCTTGTATACCATATTATAACCGATGAGATTACGGTCTTATATTTGACGCAAAATCTTCCAAAATACCTTTTCTAGTAATTACGAGAGTTGATTGAAATGGGGAAGCATTGTAAGAAAATGTCGTATCTGGGAAGACTTAGATAAAATTAAACATACTTAGAATCTAACCTTTATTGTTATTAATAGTGTCTTTGTGTTTAAATCCTATTTTATTATCTGTTAATTTCATAAGTAATGTCATGTTGAAATGCTGTGCATACCTATCGTAGCTATGGAAATATACACCACGTACAATTTATTATTAATGTTTTGTTTGTGTTTATTTGGTGCTTACCATAAATGGATAGTTTAAAGGCCTTTACAACCATAAACTATTTAGCTAATAGTATTCGTCTAGAAAAAATTGATAGTAAAAATCCAGAGTTAGAAAAAATTAATTTAACCACGTAAGAATGTCTATTGTCCCCACTTACTACTTTAGTTTATGGTGACCGGGGCGTAAATTATCTCAAATCGATATTTGAGTTCATTATCGGCAGAGTTTGATGGCCTTTTGATCTCGGTTACGTCACTGTTCATGGTTCACATAGGCCATTGGAGAAATTAGTACAGCGGCAACATATTAAACATTATCTCAAATGCAAAAACATGTTTCAAATGAAGAACGGTTTAGATACTTAACAATATTAATACGTACGAAAACATCTTTTACAGTTTATAGATTAGATTACATTTAGAGTGACTTTATCACAGGACATCACTGTGTTTCTGAAGTTTATGCACTAACAGTAAAACTTGTCAGCGCCAATGCGATTCCTACTGGAAAGCGTCAAAATCCCGAGTCATAAGACCAACTAAGTTGTAAATAACTAACGACAATACAATCCTTACCAATACACCTAAAAAAATATCGATATCTACTTTTAGCAGCTGAAAATAAACTTTGTATTCCCACAGCCTTAAATTCACCTCTGTATCGATCTCCCCTATCCTTTACTTAAACGTCACAGAAAAGTAGTACGTTCTTTTTAGCTTGACTCTTTTACGACGTGCGAAACCGACACCAGAACGTGTTTTTAAACGTGTTCCTACCTTTTTTATGTTTCACGCCACAATTCGCATTAAGTTACAATGAATGCGCTGACATCATTACTTCGTATAAATGTCTGTGTTTTATTCAGAAATTTGTATATATGTGACAAATATTACGACTTTAGTTAAACACAGCCTTATGTATAATAAAATTAAATGCCATAATTTTTTTTTCAACACGTGCGTGCGCACACTGTAACAGTTCGTGTCAAGACGTAGGTGGGTTACACTTTCACAGTTTTTAATCCTAAAAGGGCGGACAGAGTTTGATGCTGTACAAATAAGGAATTTCCAACTTGGGACCAAATGCTAAAATGAAATTTAATTTTCAAACGTCATTTTCAACTAGTCATTTGAAAATTTAAATCAAAATAAAATCCGTGTAAAGAGACCGGGTTTTATTTGGTTCAAGATTTTATTGTACCGCCATCGGCGTACGAGTCCATGTAAATATTTTATTAAAATTGTCTGTATGAAAATATTACTTCTTACTTCTTAATTCTAATTAGTCTTATTCTTTTTTCTGTTTCCTTTGCCTTGGGGTACACAAAGTATAACAATTCATTCACGAGCAAACCCTTCCTTTAGTTTAAGAAAAGCAATCTATGGTTTCTTCTGTTAAACTATTGACAGTGCAATACAAAAAAGAAATACGAGTCTTTTACTTCTTCGTCAGCTATTCCAACTTTGCCGTTCCAAATGTTGCAAGTTATTTATAAAAATGTCAACCGTTAACGATACCTGGACCAGAATTTACTCTTGTTACATTTAGCATTACTTTTTTAATTGACATAATTTAAATCATAGTACTAGCTGGCGCCCTCGTTTCGGTAGCACGGACTTCAAAGTCGCAAGTCATTAAGTCATACAGTCGTTTAGGCCTTAAGACTTAGAATTAGAACCTTCCCCACCCTCCGTTCCGTCACTAGCAATAAAGGATTTATCAGGCCAACTTTATTGCTGCGTGACGGACAAACCAACAAAGTTTCTCCAGCATTCGCGCTGACAATTGTTCTTTAATGATTCCTTCTTTTTCGTAACGTTTCGGTTATGGAGTAACCGACAGGCCGGAGCTTAGCGCGTCGCTCGCTGCCGCAGCCGATTCCCCCTCGCAAGATTGTACACAGCGGAAGCGCGCTCTGTGAGCACTGTCTGCCCTCTCCCTCTATCGTGCCTCTCCCTCGCACGTATCGCATTCCAAGCCCCATTGTCGGCCGGCTCCCACAGACCACAGACCCACAGACACGCTCCGCGGCGTCCACGCCACTTGTCCGTACCAGACATTCGTAATCTGTAACTAGTCTAAAACGAATCTTATTCTTATCCTTCATATTTAATTCCCTAGTTTCTGCTGAAGCTTCTTGTCCGATTTTCTTCTTCTAGTAAAAAGGTTAGGTTTGATGGATAAAAAGAATATGATTCAGTACCACAAGCAATGTTATTAGCCATGAACTCCATATTTCATTTATTCCGGTTGTAGAAGGACACTTCCAACTTTAAGTTGGAATCTATTTAATAATTTCTTGTATTTACGCGATTACACATTATAAATGAAACTAATTTTACGGATTTATCGCGTTTATTTTTAATTTTAATTCCCGACGTTTCGACACTGTAAAGGGTTCGAAACGTCGGGAATTAAAATTAAAAATAAACGCGATAAATCCGTAAAATTAGTTTCATTTGGAATCTATTGTTAGGAATAGATCATATTTAAAAAATGCATCCGATTTCTTTCTATACAAGACATTAAAGATTTGTTTTCAATCAATTATTATCATAATAAATTATATGTATTCTATGCGTTTTAGTGTTGTAATTATGTTCTTACGCTTTGCTGTGGCATTTTTACACAGTTATTTGCCTCATTTGTGGGTTATACACTGTCTAGTAATTTTAGTTTAATATTTCTTCCAACACTCATTTGTTTTTAATTAAGTTTGTTACCTCAAAAATCCGTCATTTTTGAACGGATTTTAAAACTTCTTTTTGTATTGGGTTCGACTTCGACCCTGGAACCCAGAGATAAACTAATAAAACTCCTCAAGATCAAGAAAATGCACAGTGAGAGAGATATTTGAAGTCGGTGTTTGTTTTTATATGGTTAAAAGGGGGCAAACGATCAGGAGGGTCACCTAATGGAAAGTGATCGCCGCATTCAATTCAATTTGCATTGCAGAGGGCTTGCAAATGCGTAGCCGGCCTTTTTGTTGTTTTTGTTAAGAAAAATGCACTTTTTATGCATCGAAAACGTTGATATAGCATAAGTTGGTCTTTGAAGATGTGACCCGAAACTTAAACCAGGTCATTAGGAATTTGTTTACGAATTAGTTAGTTAATAAAAATTTAATTCGATGAGTTTGCAATGCTTTATACGAGTATATGCAGACTTGCATGTTTTTACGGTCGTGTCTTCTTGTGGTTGGGACACGTCTATCTCCCAGTTGTGCTGTGAGATGCCAGATTGGAGCCATTTGTCAATAGTTTGTGATTTATCAATAGACCCATCTTTCATAGAGAACCCATTGACTCAGGCACAGCTATCCAGATAAGCAACTAAATAAAACTCGTCCAATGCTTAAAAGTCGGGCATATGCAGCCGTCGATCCGAAAGAACTCGGAGGCAATAAAAACGTTGTAACTGTTTTAATTGCGAGGAATTGGAAGAAGGTGGATTCTCGGAGTATTGTTACGGTGTGAGTACTAAGCACGCGATCATACCGTTTCACGACAAGCAGAGTATTTTCAAACGACAGTGGGTCATAATTTTAATTGCCACCGCATACAACCCACATGACTGTTGCAGTTTGCTATCGCTATATCGCTTTAGGCCGCATGGAATACGTAACGTAAATTAACAGCCTATACACGTCCCACTGCTGGGCAAAGGCCTCCTCTATAGGGATGGGTCGTATCGCTTTTTCTGAGTACCGTATCTGAATCCGATATCGATTTCAAATATCAGATTTCGAAACTATGTATTTTAATATCTAGATATTTTACGGTTCCCTATCCACGTTGATTAAAAGAATTCTAAAAAAAAAAAAAATAAAAAAAAAAATAAAAAAAAAAAATTATTAAAAATATGAATTGAAGTAATATAAAAATGATTTATTTTAACATCTTATATACCGCTTAATAATTGACTTTAACATATTTTTAGAACACGCAATCGAGTGGCAATATTTTTATTATTTGTGTAAGAAATAATACATTCAGTATTATAGCTTAGGGCGGAAGAATTTAAAATATACACACAAGGCACATAAGCCTTGGTCTGATTCCACCAAAGCAGCACAGCACTATTAAATTATATTTTTCTTTTTGAGTTCTTTTATTTTTTTCCAAAAATATGAATAAAATTCAGCTAATAAAAATATTCACAAAAAATTTACCTCCTAAAAAATTTACATTGTATATTTTTCTTCCTTAATTTAGGCAGAAAATTCTTAAGTAGTAAGTTGGCATCCCTTACTATTACGTGTTAAGTACCAATGCAATCCAGCTCAAGGCTGAACAAAATTTCAGACATCGTTAATACCGTAATTCGTATTTAAATGCAACAGAGTTTTTTTCCATGCTGTTAAGATTCAAAATTACTTAACTGCGCGCTTTGTCGCCCGTTACGGCTCAAGGCTAAACAAAACAATAAAAATATAATAATATCGTTGTAGTAATCGCTGATACCAAGATTAGTATTTAAATGAAACGGATCTTATTTGCATGGTGTTAAGATTCAAAATTACTTAACTTATTCATAATATCTGATTAAAAATCTGATATCGTGCATTGCTTGCCGTCCCACTCTAACTAGTAAGTGTTTATATCTCACGCGCTTTGTCGCTCGATATCTGATATCGTGCATTGCTTGCCGTCCCACTCTAACTAGTAAGTATTTATATCTCACGCGCTTTGTCGCTCGGTATCTGATATCGTGCATTGCTTGCCGTCCCACTCTAACTAGTAAGTATTTATATCTCACGCGCTTTGTCGCTCAATATCTGATATCGTGCATTGCTTGCTGTCCCACTCTAACTAGTAAGTATTTATATCTCACGCGCTTTGTCGCTCAATATCTGTTTTAAAAATCAGATATTGTGGCAAACGCGTATGATATCGCCGTATCGCGATTCGTGTCGGTATAGCGAGCGAGCACGGTACATCAGATTTCGGAAATATCAGATATTGTAAAATACATAGATATTGAACGAGCCAGTAAGCGATATTGGGATATTGTACTAATATCTAGTTTTCATATCTGATACGATTTGTATCGCCCACTTCTACTCCTCTATAAAGAGGGGAGGTATCAGGTCATAGTCCACCACGCGGCCCTACTGCGGATTGGCGGACTTCACATATTTTCGAAATATATTTTTTTTTGTTATTATTTCGAAAATATGCAGGTTTCCTCACGATGTTTTCCTTCACCGCGGAGCACGTGATAAGTCAGCACTTAAAGTTAAAAACTTCATTGGTGCCGGCACCGGGGATCGAACTCAGGTTACTCGAGTATATTGAATTAAAGGCGAGCGCCCGGACACTGAGCTATCACGGCTCTAATAATATAATTGATAATTGATGTAATAAGGAGTAACTTACGCTACTTTTAATTAAGAAATTTTAATTTATTTATTTTTAATTCCACGTGGACGAAGTCGCGGGCACAGCTAGTCCAAAATAAAGATTAAGGAGTCGATGCACCCGCCAGACGCCTGTGTTTATAAACATACATAATTTTTCTTATTTTAGTAACTATATTTAATGCAGTTTAATAACTCCATAAACTGTATGTACTCTAAACCCGAAGTAGAATTAACATAGATTAGAAGGTACTACTGCAAGTTGCCTTAGTGTTAAAATTTTACAATCGCCCTTGGCGTTGCGATAGCCAAGTATCCGATTGCTCGCTTCAATATACTCGACTATCTGAGTTTAAATACATGTGCCAGCACAGAACTGCTGACTTATCACATGCTGAGGTGAAGAAAACATCGTGATTAAGTATTTTAAAGATCTTTGAAGTTCGCCAATCCGCAGCGGGGTCTCGTGGTGTATTGTGCCCTTTGTACAGTGGAGGTGTTTGCTCAGCAGTGGGACATATATAAGCTGTTCCTTTACTATACTTGTAGCACAGTTGCGATTTTTATATTAGTCTGTTCACTTCTCACGTGCAAGTGGACGGATTTTAATGAAATATGGATTAGTGACAGCTGATACGCTGCATTCGATAATATTTATCAACCGATTTAAAACTAAGAGGAGATTCCCAATTCGGACGCATTTCTTTTATTTTGTACCTCCGAAATACGTCATTTATGAAAAGATTAAAAAAACATTGAATTTGTTTCAAATTAGCTCCTGTATGGGACCCATGTTAACTTCATTAGTATTGAACCTTGGACTCGGGAGATACAAGAGTGAGGTGTTTGAGGTAGGCTTTAGGTTTTGTCAATAATGCACCTTTACCGTTAAAAATGTAAGAATCACGCGAGCGAAGTCGCGGATATAAGCTAGTACTGGTCAATAGGCGATTGATGTCTCAAGTTAGACCGATAAGAGAACAGATTGCGCCGTCACCTGTAATCGTCAATAGCAATTATTAACACAATAGACTACCGTTTTGTAATTGTATTCGATACGAATCGTTTCTTCCGCTTCTATACATAGATTCGATGGAAATAGTCATTTCTGTCACAATTTCAATGTAACAAGATTGAATAATAATCAAAAAATTTTATAATACAATGTAATAAGAATGTGAAAAAACTAGGAATTAAATCGCTACATTTTTAGTCATTATTCAGGGAGATTTTTTGAGAATTGCCCAAATTTACACAGGAGGTTCAGACTCGGTAGTATAATCGTTTATTGAAATAAAAAACGAAGTTTTTTTTCCCAAAAAAATGCCATTCTATTCCCTAAAAAACAGAACGTGTTGACAATGCGGTAGTCATTAATAAATACCTAAATTTTACTTTGCACGAACTTGTGTGCGCGTTAGTTATGAATGATCGCGGGTAAAATAAATGAGTTGCGTATAAATCACGCACTTTTTGAGATAAGTTCAAATTAATGTAATTAAATACTCACGAGTGATTTTAAATATTTATAATTTTTTATATAACATTATTTATGTCTAGAATTTAATAAAAAAACTGGAGACACTTAGAAAAGCTACCTTGTATAAACATTTCTCTTTTAACGTGTATTATATTTACATACATTGTAAAGGTATGATAAAATGTTGTCTTGGTGTTACCACTTAACATCAGATGAATTGC